CAGATTATTTTTGAAAGAAAAAAGTGGGGTTTGACTGGATTTTTTTTTTTTTTTTTTTTTATGTAGTCAGTTACTGACCTTCTTCTGCCCCCTGCAGGTGAAGCGATACCAGTGCACGTTCGAGGGCTGCAAGAGGACATACAGCACGGCGGGGAACCTGCGGACGCACCAGAAGACACACCGGGGGGAGTACACGTTTGTCTGCAACCAACAGGGCTGCGGAAAAGCCTTCCTCACGTCGTACAGCCTGAAGATTCACGTTCGCGTTCACACCAAGGAGAAGCCGTTTGAGTGTGACGTGCAGGGCTGTGAGAAGGCCTTCAACACGCTCTACAGGTAGACTCACCAGCAGGCGGCGCCAGTGTGCCTTCATTCATGCATTTGGTTAAAATATTTTAAAAAATTTGATTAACGTGTACGTCCACCTGAAACTCCTGCACAGTTCTGTCATGTCGACACTTTTACTCGTTCCCGCTTGAACCCATCAGTGATTGGTCGGTTTGTTTGTTTGTTTGTGTCTTCAGACTAAAAGCACACCAGAGACTCCACACAGGAAAGACGTTCAACTGTGAGTCTGAGGGATGCACAAAGTACTTTACCACACTCAGCGACCTGAGGAAACACATTCGCACACACACGGGGGAGAAGCCATTCAGGTGTGTGTTTCCACCATCAAAAAACAGTCGTAAGGTGTTTCTCTCATAAAACGGTGACGGGAATGGTGGTGTTTGTTTGATTTAAAAAAAAAAATACAGCAGCCAATATTCATCAGTCATATGAGGGTGATTTTTAATAAAGGCTGGACGTGACCAGTGTTTTATGTGTGTAGATCTTTTTTTTTCCCTTTCGTCTGTCTGCAGGTGTGACCACGACGGCTGTGGGAAGGCTTTTGCGGCGAGTCATCACCTTAAAACGCACGTCCGAACTCACACAGGTGAGTTACGTCTTAATCCAGATTAGACGTTGAAATGCAGAGTTTAGACGTAGAGAAATGTAACCTTCAACCCTTCTCCTCCAGGAGAGAAGCCCTTCAACTGCCCCAGCGACGGCTGTGAGAAGACGTTCAGCAGCCAGTACAGTCTGAAGAGTCACATCCGGGGCCACGACAAAGGACAGTCGTTCACCGTCGCCCTGTCTGATGTAGGTCGCCCGAGTGTGCGTTAGCACGTTGACATATGTCTGGAATTTCACCATCACCATAATGGAGTTATTTAAGCAGATCCTTTAGAGCAGAGGTGTCAAACATGTGGCCCGCAGGCCAAAACTGGCCCACTCGGGGGTTCAATACGGCCCACTTGATGAATGTTGAAAGTGGAAAAAATGAACAAAGACTGAATGTTAGTGATGTTTTGACAAATGTTTCTTTTAATATTCATTTTTTTATATCAAATTCAAAGACTTTTCTTGGTCAGGCCTCCGTGTCGTTTCGTCAGTTCATCCACAGCTGAGTCACCATGGAACTGAAACTGAAACTCTTCTCTGATAATTACAGGACGCAAATCACTCCCTGTGCCTCAGTGACCTGAGCCTCATCTCCACAGAGTCGGAATTTCGTGAGAACTTTCAAAACGTGAGTTGCTGTCTTGCCTTGTATCTGTTACTTTGCGTTTTTAATTTATGTATTTATTTTAGTAGTAAAGTGTATATGAAGTACTGGCTGATTTCCAACCTGATGTTTAACACAACCTCAGTTTAAACACAGCTGAGGCCTGAGGATAAAACAAAGTCTCATGTTCCAAATATGTGGCTTAAATATTATTGTGGTCAGACAAACATGTTGAACATGTGCTCCTGGATGTGTACTTAGCATCACCTGCTGGCTATGGAATGGAAGTGACATGTATAAAGTAGATTAAACCACAGTAATAATTTAATATAACTGTGAACTTCCCTTTATGGAATAAGGGCGATTTTGTTTGGCTGTCTCTCAGTATTATTGGTTTGCTGGATTTTAAAACAAAATAATCACGGATTAGTAATTAATTAATTATAATAAAACACATGTTAAATTCAAATATCAATATGTTTTAAATAATGAGAAACATTTGAATTAAAATGTTTTTTGAATAACTTAAGAAATTCTTTGACACTTAGATGGAAGTTAAAACAGATGCAATACTGCCACCTACAGGCCAGTGTGCCTAAAACTTTATTTTATTTTAATACTTTAATAAGTATTCCTGATGTTTGATCAGACCTGACCTTTGTGTCCATGTCAAACGTGACCACAGGCTCAGAATCTGGACCTCAGTAACGTCACCCCTGTGAAGATCTTCGAGCTGATGTTCCAGAGTCCTGAAAACAGCGTGAGCCAAGACGACGGCCATCAGAATGGTAAGAGCTTTTTTTTTTCTTTTTAAAACCCTTCCCGTCAGAACACTCTGGATGGTGTTTGGTTCTAACGCACTTTGGACTTCCTGTTCCAGACAGCCTTGCTGAACCCTTCAACCTGGAGACGACCGAAGCCTCGTCTCCCATCTCCTTTACCGTGGATCTCACCTCCTCATCCTCCTGTTGCCACACAGCTGCTGGAATGGTGGCGTCGTCCCACCTCTGCGTCCACTCTTCCTCTTCGACCTCCGCCTCGGCGAGTGTCACCACTGCTGTCAGCTCCGCTCAGCCTTTCCTGCAGGTCACCAACGTGCCTCTTCCAGCCTCGGTCCAAACGGCCAACCCTCTGCCCTCCCAGCATTACATGGCACTTCCGGCCACATTCCTACAGCCTGATGGTGTGGCCCCGCCCACCGGTCTGCCACCCCCACCGCCGCCGCCCATCTCGGCGCCTCAGTCTCCTCCAGCGGCCTCGGCGCTGACCACCACCGCACCAGGCTCTTCTGCTGCTGCTTCATCTGTTGTTTGACCGGACAACCCAGACCACCCCC